TATATATATATATATATATATATATATATATATACAGCAACCACGGCAAATTTGTCCCGAGCATCGGTCCGATCCCTGCTTCCCTCGACGCCTGCTTCCCAGGCCTCGTATCATCCCCTTCCGAACATAAAGTGTTCTGGTATTAACGGTGTCGCTATATCCGTGCATAATACCTAACCTTTTCCACCCTTTCGCTCTTTTGTATCTCGAGATTCGACGAGGGTGGAAAACATCGAGAGAAATTGAACGGATCGAGGAAAAAATATTTTGTTTTGTTAATCCGAATTTGACGCTCTTTCCTAAGCAGATTCGTTCCAAGTTGAATGTTTCTCTTCCACCGTGTGAAATTAATTAACGAACGTTTCTAAACTAGATTTAGAATCATTGCGAATTATTGTTTGTAGGGAGTCTAGAAAGGAGTCTAGAAATCTGCCTATCAAAAATTTTATTCATACATATTGAATAGCATTGTGAAGTTTATATCTAAATATATATATATATATATATATTTAAACCGATTCTTAAATGTGAAATCGATCCTTTAATATATCGGACGGAATTATCAATTTCTTTTCAATTTCACGAGTCGAAATTAATGTTTTGTGTTTGTTACAGTTTAACGATCACGGCATCGTGTCCAATGAATCTGCAATATTTTCCAATGGACCGACAGCTCTGCCATATCGAGATCGAGAGCTGTAAGTACGCACGTGCGCGTGTAATAAATGCATACATACCGAAACGAAGCGACGATATCTGAGAAAAAGTTCGACACCCTTGTCACAGAAACACATTACATACGTATATAAACACATACGATCCAAATTCAATCATTGGAAACATGAACAGTGTCGATCTTACGAACGGCAATCGATCGTCAACCATAATATTTTTCGAATATCGTTTTTCGAAATACGTTTCTCTCGATTTCATTCGTTCTATATATATTCGATAAAAGTTGGAACATTTTTAATAAAATGAAAAAGAAAAGAAAAAAGAAAAGTCGATTGCCGGTTCGTAATAAACCGCGACTCAACTGTACATCGCTTTCAACCCCTTTTTCAGATAAACTCGGAAAGACGCCTCTGTCGTGTCGACATTTGCGTTAACATAGAGGGGGAAAAAAAAGAAAAATTAAGAAAACCTCGTATATTCTTCTTTTTTACACGCTCTCATACCAACGAAATATCGTTACCCCAACAAACCCCCTTACAACCACCCCCTTCAAACGCGACCGACCCCCGCTCTCTCTTTCCACACGAACTCTCTTCTCCCACATCCCACGAGATACACACGATTCCTCTTCCGTATCTATTCTCTCTTCTCTGTCTACTCCTCTCTGGCTATCTATCTATCTATCTATCTATCTATCTATCTAACTGTCTGTCTGTCTGTCTCCATCACTCGCCACTTTACACGCTCACTAACACACCGAATCAGTCACACGATCCGCGACGTCGTCGCGGATCATTTTCATTCACTCACTCACTCACTCACTCACTCACTCACTCGCTCACTCACTCACTCACTCACCCGCTCTCGCTCACTCTTATTGGGTTTTCTATACCGTTCACGATGACTACTTTATCTATATACGTCATAACATCGTGAACGTACGCCGAGCCGGGCGCGTACGCCTCCCTTTTCGAGGAATAAATTTCGAGCGCAATCAAACGATTCTTTCGCTGATCGGTGAACTGTATACGAATTATATCGAACGTGGGCTCATCTGAATAGAGGGGTAATTCGCAAGTGGTATCTTTGGAAAGCGGATGCGACGCGTGCGGCTCGGCTACGAGGCACCAGTGTGCGAACAACAAGAGCACCTTGACGAGAAGCGTCCGCAATAACCGAGACGATCGTCTCGATGTGTATCATGCAATCAATCCCCCCGAGACTGACTCCGTTGACTCTCTTCAGCAAACGAGAACGAGTCGACGAGACACACACGGCTCGATCAGACGTGCCGCTGCGTTCTTTTTTTCTTTTTTTTTTTTTTTAGGCTGCTAATAGCGTTGTTTATCGTCATTTACCAGAGAGAGCGTAGAGAACGAAAGATCTCGTGAAGAAAGAAAGAAAAAAAGGCGAGAGACGAGCTGGTCGCCCCTGGTTAACACACCAGTGTACGGTGCGGGAAAATACCTGAACCTGACCACCTTTGCGTGTGTGTGTGCGTGTGTGTGTGCGCGCGCGTGTGTTTGAACCAAATGGCTTGGATGCGTGTGCGTTGTTGTCACGAGCTCGCGCCGTTGATTATCACTGCTGCAAATTGCACACGCGAATCGTGTGGCTGTGTGAAACCGAAAGAGGATGCTCTCCCTCTCTTTCGAGTCGAGACATTTTTCATTCTAATTTTCTTTTTTTTTTTTTTTGTCAGAGAGAGAGAGTGAAAAAAATCGTAATCGAATGACGATGACGCGGTGTTTTCGAAAAATCATTCAAATTTCGAATATATTCGAGAGGTGAAATTCTCGGATGTTACGAGAGCAATCTTTCTTGAAAGTTATTCACTCGAATAAAATCTTTCGAATCTTTTGCAAGATGTTTATCTCGGGGTATAAAAAAATATATATTCTCGACAAGTTTGGAAAGTTTCTCTTTCGAGAGTGTTATGCTTTTCTTCCGATCGACTCTTTTACCCTTTTTGACTAATTTCGTGATCGCTCCGAAATTAATCGATCCGATGAACGATTCGTAAATGAAACTCGAACGAAACAATGAAAACGAAAACGCATCTGGCAACGAACCTGGCCAGATTAAATTGCAACGATCAAACGACAGGAGGACATACGATTAAACGAGGGGGAGGGAGAGAAAAGAAAAAAGGAAGAAAGTCGTGAAACGCATCCGGTGCCTTTGATTATACCAGAAGTCTAACGGAGATTGGTAATCTATACGGCGAACAATGGAAAAAGTTTCGGCCTAACTCGTCCACCCCAGCTAAGAGATCTATATTAAAACTCAGCCGTTTGCGGGACGATACGACGAAAGGCCGGCGGGCGGGCGGCGGAAGTCGGACGGCTCGAGATATCAAAGTAACTTGACCAAGTTCCTTGATTAGTTTCGCGGAGAGCCGTTTCGTGCCGTCGTCCTTAATTGCTCCACCCTCGTCCCCGGTTGAAATTATTACTGTCGTTAGAAGTATTTCTCCTCCGATCTGCCCCCTCCCCTGGTAATTAATAACGATTAATATCGAGGTCGATGCTACTTGCATAAATACGGGGGAGGGAGAGGGAGGAAGTATCGATCGTCGATCCTCCTTCTCCTCCTGTGGCATCGAGGGTCGAGCATCGGGCAAACATTCGAGTTGAACTTGGCGAGATGAGAAATAAAATTGCTCCGTTAAGTGGCAATATGGATAGATCGAGGGTCGATAAATGAGCCGATGATCAACGAAGAATGGCGAATAATCCAAAATTGTGCCGATCAGCGTGACTTTGTTTCGTTGCAACGATTAAAAACGTTTGTTGTTCGGCATAATTTGACGGCGCGACTCGTTAATTTCGAGAATTTAAAATGGCCCAATGGTTTGTCGCCAGATTGCAGAAACAGTCTTGCTCGTTATTTTTAATCTCGTTACGCTATCTACTCGTGTGATTGTATTTAATGTCGGGAGAGCCGGTCGCAACTTGGTCAAGCTCTCTTCGGATGGAAAAAACAAAAAAAAAAAAGAAGAGAGAAGGATTCGGTATTCGCAGATCCTCGTTATCGAGCCAATTTATGACATATTGCATAACGCATTAACCGCGTTTCCCAATTTGACGTGCAATTTGCAGTAACTCCGAACGACAGGTAATCGAGCTCGATCGCGCAGAAGTGCGGTCGGCTTGGTTGATCCACGCCTTGGAAGAAATCGAGCCGGCCGACGTTTACGCAGACGCATTTTCGTGGTGGTTTCACACCGCGTGTGAAAAGGAAGAGGAAAAAAAAAAAAAAAGATTGAAAATACAAAAAGAGATTATTCTCTCTGTTGTTGAGAATAATTCGAGGAAAGAGCATTTCTCTGCATCCTTGATCGTGACAATCTGCGTAACTGTATCGTAACCGTAAGATGTATTATTTATTACACGAGCATCCTCCGAAGGGTCTCCACTCTACCAATTTATCTATATATATATATGTGAATATGTCACATATCGGTACTTAGCCAAATCTAAGTGTAATTTCTCCGCATCTGTCGCTTCGTGAACTCGATAAATATCATTGCGAAAATCGTGCATATGAAACACGTGTATACGGAAAAAGAAAAAAAGAAAAGAAAAAAAAAAAAAAAAGAAAATAATCGAACGACGGAGAAATCGCACGTAAATTGAGAGAGAAAGGAAAAAAAAACCGTAGAGCACACGCACACGGCTGTACATATATCGAGAGTTTTTCGAGGAAAAAAAAAAAAAGAAAAAGAAACGATGAAAAAGAAAGGAAAAAAAGAGAAAAAGAAAACGATTCTTTTTTTTTTTTTTTAACTTCCGACGACGAAAAAACGTCTTTAAACGAACGTGTGCTATGAACATGAACACACTGAAAGTCACCACTTTGCCACTGTCACAATACCACCACCACCACCACCACCACCACCACCACCACTACCACCACCACCACCACTTGACCATCACTATCACATAAACCAAGCCCCCCGGCCCCTCTAAAAAGCCTCCGACATATAGCACTGAGCCTCGTGTCCGGGGACGTAGTAAGGGCCGACGACGGCCAGCCCCGAAGGAGGCTAAAACACAGAAAACGACGTGTCGACTACGGTGCGACCGAATTAAAACGCATTGTGCATCTAGCCCAGCGCATGTAAGAACGAAACGACTGCAAAAGCATTTTAGCCACGACGAGACGTGCCGTGGCCCCCGTTCGGTATGCCTATATATTATTATTATTATTATTATTATTATTATTATTATTATTATTATTATATTATTTTTCAAAATAATCCGGTTATGAACTATCGACTTTCAAAAACCGATCTTTTACTTCTTCTTCTTTCTTGTTTTTTTTCTCTCTGTTTTCTTTTTTTTTTTTTTCTAAATAATACTCCAAAAAAACTACTGATCACCCATTCCCCCTGGCCACTTTTGCGTATGCTGTATTACTATATATACATATATATATATATATATATGTGTGTGTGCGTGCGTATATATATGTATATAGATCGTAGTTTGATGATATATCCCGCCCTAGATGAAAGTCGGCATGCCTGTGGCACGAAAATATTTTGTTCCGCTCTCTTAACCCAGGACCGAATTTTCGACTGCGCAACTTTAGTCGGCATCGGAGTTTTTGCTTCCTGTTCTACTACTTGTGCGTGCCTTTAACGACCCGTTGAATGCGCCGCTTGGGTCGTCAGTTAATCTAGCAGAAACGATGTTTTTCGTTGCCTGTTGAGGTGGGGCTATAGTATTTTATACAATTTTATACATTTATTTCGCGAAGATGTTACCCATTTATTTTCCATATAAGGAAAAAAAATATCAAATTTCACCGTCAATCGCTTTTGAAAAAAATTTCCTTTGCGAGCAATATCTCTTTTCGCACGCGATATTAAGCGCGAAAGGGTCGAATAGATTCTTTGGATCCGACCAAATGTCCGCAACGTTTCAAAATGTATTGCTGGAAGGAAGAAGTCCGGCAAGAAAAAAATTCTCGAATCTTTTTGCTTCGAAAAGATACATTTCGCTCGTTGTATTAACGTCCCGATATTTGAATAATTCGCCCGTTTCGAAGAAACGAAAAAAGAGAGGATTCCCTTGTATAGATGGGAACATCTATCGTTAACGTGGAAATTGATCGAGTGAAATTCGATCCCGGGCTAAATGGGATCCAATAATAGCGTACTTTGCGAGCGCGGATATTGCAAACGACCATTCCAACGGGGGGGAGGGGAGGGAGAAAAAAAAGAAGTTAAATTTCGTGTTCAGAATTCGTGTCACTGGTAAAGCACAAAGCATGCGGCATCGGGCATGACGTACAAAATTACGTGGCACGAAGCATGCGATTGTATATGCTGATGCATGTGTGTCTCTCTCTCTGTGCGTGCGTGTGTATGTGTGAGCGCTCTGTGTGTCTCTGCGTGTACAAGGGAGCGAAATCCACGCCCTAACGTTTTTTTTACCGATTTTCCAAATCCCGCACAACCGCAGCATGCAAATGGCACGAGACTGTTTTTCTTTTTTTTTTCTTCGCTTCTCCATATAAAATATCTACTTTCTACACACTCTCCACTTATCGTCTTATATGATCCAAACTTGGCCACCACCACTACCACCACCACCACCACCGCCACCATCCCATATGGTTATTACTCTTTGCTAATGTTGCCGCAATCCTCCCCTCTTCACCGGTCACCGCTCTGGCCCCTCCCTCTTTCCCTCCGCACCCCTTTGGACCTCGTAACGCTTAACGTTAACCCAATCCAGGACGTTTGTTTTTTTTTTTTTGGCGGGGGAGAAAGAGAGAAAAATCCCATTTTTTGATCTGTTTTCGGTTTATGATATATTACGTGTAGCGTAACCTAATGATAACGATTAACACGATTGCGATGAACATCGGCGAAATAGAAAAGTATTTTTGGAAAAGTGGAATAATACGCGTGGATATATTAATATTTTAAAACGAATTTTGAAAACTTGATCGAACCTTCGAACGCGTTTTTTCCACGCGTTGACAATTTCGACAAAAGCGTCGGGAGGAAATCCTTTGAAGAGGATTTTTTATATATTTCTTGAAAAAAAAACCGAAAAGAATATGATATGATAAATGATAAAAACACGAGACTGAAAACTGGCGAAATTTCGCTCGAGGAGGAAAGGAAGAAAGGGGGATCGATAGTTTAAAATTAGCATCAATTAAATTACACGGTTTCTTCTTCGGTTTCGAAGCGGAGCCGTTGAATGTTAACGAGGCTTGTGCATGGTGGAAACATCGAGGCTGGCAATCGGCGCGCACGCCAGAGTCGCGAGCATTGCGAGCAGATAAATCTGGGAGGGGAAGCATTTCGCCGGCCGGAATTGTACGAGGGCGAGGGAATCCGGCGAGCGAAAATGAGCAAACGGAAACGGGGCGATAGTATTTCCGTGTTCCAAAAACAAAAGCAGTTAATCCCGAATGGCGGCCGGGTGGTGGATCGCTTAATCCACGTTTCGCCGATGTTCGCGCAATGTGGCCGTAGCCGCGATGGAATGCCACTTTGGTGCCTGGAATGCGGTGTAACGATCGTAATCACCTAAGATTCAGTTACGGAGGAATGTTTCTCGGCCCGGTATGCGCACGCTCGAGGCCGCGAGGCGAGGCGAGGAATCAGAGAGAACATAAATAGGCGCGAATTCCGATCGATCGTGGAAAATTCGATCCCCCTCCTCCTCGTCGGTCGGGGATCGTAACACAACGCGACTCGCAGTGATAAATTATCGTCCCGCGTCATTTGTATCACGCGGCCCGATTATTATTTCGAACGTACGCGACCTGTCCCCCTCTCCCTTCCTCCTCCTCCCCCCGTGGCCTCGATAACTGGTGCCGTGCCGTTTCGTTTTTTTTTTTTTTTTTTTTTTTTTGCGAGAAAAAATTATGGACGTATGGAAAAAAGCAAATCACTGATAGCATTGACGGGATAAACAGAGGGGGGGGGGGAGAGACGACTGCTGCGGATGAATTTAACATCCGGAAACGGAGTACTTTTCATGCGTCCATAAAAGGCTGGATATTAAATATATTATATATCGTATACGCTGCACAGCGATTCGAAGCGATCGTTCGAATCGTTTCCGCCGGCGATTATTTCAAATATTCTCGCCTAGCTCGATTATGCCAAACGATTTTTTGCAGCGCATAAACGCACCTTAAGCCGATCCAATTAGAACGGTGTGCAAGTGGAATGAAGAACGTGGTGTACGAGATTGATTAGATTTATTAATCTTTTTCGTGAGGAAAAGAAAAGGACGGAAGTAACGGTCGAACGGTTTAGGGTGCTGGATGAAATTTTTTGCTTCTATCTTTACCCTTGTTTACCCCTTCTCCCCCTACCAAACCCTCCTTGGTAACACCTATGATCCCCGATATATATATATATATATATATATATATATATATACTTACTT